CGCCGGGGCATCCCCGGCCGCCCCCGCCGAGCCCCGCGCCGGACCCGGGGCGGGGAGGGAGCGGCCCGGGCCGGGCTGGGCCGAGCCGCAGGAGAGTCCGGAGGTGGAGCCGCGGCTGTTCCGGAGCGGTTCCGGAGCGGTCGCAGGGCGGTTCCGGGGGGCCCGAGCCGCTCCCGGGGCGCTCCCGGAGCAGCGGCAACAGCCGGCCAAGCAGGACGCGGAAATGCCGCTAAACCAGAAGTGACGTCACACAAAGTGCTCCGCCCCGACCGCCTCTCCACAAATCCGGCTCCGTCGCCCCCGCTGGTCCCGCCTCCTCCGTTTCTTTCATCCAATCACCAGCAACGGCCGCCCTTAAGCCGCGCCCCCTATCGGATTTCCACCAATCCGCGCTTCCCTGAGATCACGCAGGCCCTCCCCCTCCTCCATAGACCCCCTCGTAATCCCCCCCAATTTCCCCCCAATTTTCCCCAATTTCTCTCCATATCCCGCTTTCCCTTTAGGCCCCGCCCACACCGGACCACCAACCAATAGGAACGCAGCACTGACAACACACCCTCGAACCGTCCGGGGGGCGGGGCCGCGCGGTAGAGGCCACGCCTCTCCCTCCCCCGGCCCCACAAACGGACTCAAAACGGCCCCAGAATTGGCATTTTTTTTATTCCTTTTTAACTTCTTCTGCCCCAGCCACCTCCAGAGAAGCCCCGGAGCTCCTGTCCAGGAGCCTCGGAGCCCGCCAGAGGTCTCTGTCCTTTATGGCCGTGGGTTGAGATCCCACTGGGAGCGCCCGCCCCTCGCCAGCCGCAGAGCAGAGCCCTAAAGAAAGGAGAATGGTCCTGGCTACCGAATTTGGGGGTGGCTACCGCATTTTGGGGAGTGGCTACTGAATTCTGGTGGGGCTGGGTTACCGAATTTAGGGAGGGTGGCCTCTGAATTTGGGGAATAGCTACTGCATTTGGAGGTTTTGTCTTGATTTAGGAGGAAAAGGAGTGGGATGAGGGAGGGGCAAGAAGGAGAGGATGGAGCTGGGGTTCTCCCAGTGCTCCCACTAACACCAAGCCTCCCGCCCAGTAACCCAAAGGCCCCCTCCCAGTGCTCCCACTAACACCAAGCCTCCCTCCCAGTAACCCAAAGACCCCCTCCCAGTGCTCCCACAAACACCAAGCCTCCCTCCCAGTAATCCAAACATCCCCTCCCAGTGCTCCCAGGAACCCAAATTCTCTCCCAGTAACCAATCCCCGCTTCCAGTTCCTCCCAGTAAGCCCCTCCCAGTCCCTCCCAGTTTATCTGAGTCCCCCCAGATTCCCCTCTCTGCTTCTCTTGGTTTATCCCAAGGCCCCCAGTCCCTCCCAGTTCCTCCCAGTGCCCCCAGTACCTGTCCCTCGCTTGTCCCAGCCAGGGGGGGCACTGAGGGGGGAAAGGGGCATTAGGGGGTTTCGAGGTCACCCCATAGATTGGGGTCAGCGTTGAGGGGCTTCTCTGGGAGGGCTTGGGGTCCTGCAGGGGCTTTGGGGAGCTCTGGGCTCCCGCCGTGGGGGTTTGAGGCCCTACATGAGCTTTCCTTGAAGATGAGGAAAGGGGGCAGGGTTTGGGGCATTATTTTGGGGTAAATCCCGTAGGATTTGAGGTCGCTCACCCACACTGGAGGCCAGAGAGGTCCCTGAATTTCTGTAGGCTACACCAGCCTGTGGGGGGAGAGCAAACCATTTTGGGAACCCCCTTATTTTGGGGTGGCCCCATTTGGGGTGAGGTCTCACCTGCCATCCTGGAGTGCTGCGGGACTGGGGGGGCTCCAGTGGGGCCAAGCGGCTGCAAAAGAGGCGGGAGGTTTGGGGGACCCCCCTGTGCAATTGAGGGACCCCCATCCCAATTTAGGATGCCCCCCTTCACCCCTTACCTGACCACTTGACTGCTGAGCTGCCGGCGGGGCTGAGGTGTGACTGGAAATGGAAAATTTGGGAAGACCCCTACGAACAAGGAGGGGATGGGGAGGGGTTTTATGGTGTGGAAGACACCCCTGAAAATCTGGGGGGCACTTACCTGAATGTGTGGGGGAGGGACGGGGGGTGCTGCTGCGGCTGCTCCAGCGCCAGCCTGGGGAGAGCTGCAGGGAGATTTGGGGGGATGTTTTGCTGGGGGAAGTTTGGGGAGACAGTTTTGGGGGTGAGGGAAGGGGTAGGGAGGCTTTGGGGGAGTTTGGGGTCCAGGGAAGGGGCAGGGGGGCTTTGGGGGGCAGTTTGGGGTCCAGGGAAGGGGGGCTTTGAGGGCCACCTGCATGCGGCGCAGCTCCTCATTCTCCCGGCGAAGTGACTCCAGCTCCCTGGGAAGGAGGAGGATTTAATGGAGGGTGGGAATTCCCCCCATTTGGGGTGGGAGTCCCTCCACAGGGCAGCTAAGGGGGGCAGAGCAAAGGGGTGGAAGCTCACCAGGATGGCAGCGAATGGCAGAACATGCTGTCACCAACATGGCAGCCAAGGGAGGGTAAGACCCTCCCAAGAAAGAGGCCAGAAGGACAAGGACTCTCATCAAGGTGTTGACCAGGGAGTGCTGCCTCACCCACATGCCCAGAGGAGCCAAAGATGGAGGTGTGAACCCCTTACCATGGCATCCCCCTCACCTCCTCCTCTCCCCCAGCTCCTCTCTGGCCTTCTCCAGCTCTGCCTGCACCCGCCGAGTTCTGTCCCGGTGCAAGTCCAGCAGAAGCTGCATCTGTGCTGTCTGGAACCGCCACACCTAGGGGACGTGGGTCACCTCCTCGTACCCCCCAGCCTGTGGGGCTGGGGAGAATGGTGGAGCCTCATCCCCCATCACCTGTGTCCTCCTCACCTGCGTGATGTGGGCAAGGTGCTTGAGGGCGAGGGCCACCGGGTTCTTGAAGAAAACCTTCTCCTGTGGGCGCATCTGTTGGGCATGGGGGCATCAAAAAGATGGGAAGAAGGTTGGAAACAGGAAGGGAAAAGGGTGGGAAAGGGATGTGGGGCACAACATGGGGGACACTGGCCTGATCGGACAGGGGCAGGTAGCGGCAGGTGGTGCCACAGACTGGGCAGGGACCTATGGGAGGGGGAGAAAAAAGTGAGAAAAGTGAGAGAAAAAGATGTCCTAAAGTCCCAAAAATGGTGTTCCTTGAGGGAAATGGATTATTTCCCCTCATTTTAGGGTTTTAAATTGAAGCACGATCCTCCATTTCCACAATGCTGAGGGTGTAAATTGAGGGAAAATCCCCCATTTTCCATCATTTGAAAGACAGAAATTGAGGGGAAACCCTCTTTTCCCAGTATTTTAGGGGTTTAAATTGAGGGCAGAGCCCTCAATTATTTATTTGCTTGAGTTGAGGTGACCCCTCCTTTCCCTCTCGTTTTAAGGGACTAAATTGAAGGAAACTCCCCCTTTCTCAGCATTTTAAGGGTTTAAATTGGGGCTTTTCCTCAGTTTTACCTGTGCCCCCACAGCCCTCGCACAGGATGTGGCCGCAGTTGGTGATGGCGAACCGGGCGCCATCCTGGCGGAAGCAGCGACTGCAGTGGAACCAGTCCATGGCGGCGCCGGGGCGAGGAGCTGCCTGTGGTGCCTCCAGACGTGAGGGCCTGGGAGGGAATGAGGGGAAAGGTGAAGGGAAAAGGGTGGGAAAAAGTGAGAGAAAAAAGGGGTGGAAATGTGAGGAGGAAAGGGTCAGAAATGTGAGGGGAGAAGGGCTGGAAGTGTGAGGCGAAAAAGGGCGGGAAATGTGAGGGGGAAAGGGTCGGAGATGTGAGGGAAGCGTGAGGCGAAAAAGGGCGGGAAATGTGAGGGGGAAAAGGGCAGGAAAGTTGAAGCCAGGGAAAGGGCAGCAAAAGAGAGAAAAAAGGGCAGGAAATGTGAGGGGAAAAGGGTGGGAAACCTGAGGGGAAAAAACAGCAGGAAAGGTGAGAGGAAAAATGTGGGAAAAGGGAGGAAAAAAAAGGTGGGAAACTGGGAAACATGAGAGAAAAAAGGGTGGGAAATGTGAGGGGGAAAAGGGCGGGAAAGGTGACGGGGGAAATGGTAGGGAAAAAGGAGAGAAAAAGAGCAAGAAAGGGGAGAGATGAAAAAAGTCAGAAATGTGAGAGGGAAAAAGGCCACCTGAACGGAGACAGGGAAACCAGAATTGGGACATCAGGATGGGGACAGCAACATCTGGACCTATGGGGGTAGATGGGGATGGGGATAAGGACACCAAGATGGAGACGCTGTGAGGGGCCAAGATGGAGATGGAAATACCAGGATGGAAACAGGGACACCAGGACAAGCCTGTGGAGACACTAGGAGTGGCATGGCATGGGGACACATGTATGGGGGTGTTGGGATGGGGACACTGTGATGGGAATGGGGATCCCAAGGATTCCACGACCCTGGGGATGGGGTCTCCAGGATGGGAATCCTGGGACTTGGGCACATGGATCTGCTGATGCCATCAATAAAACGTCTCTGAGCAGCCTCATCTTATCATATGGATTTGGGGACACCAGCCAGGGGATTGTCCGACTGTGAGATTTTGGGGTCACCCCCAGTGACCCCAATATGGCCATGCAGAGATTTTCCCATCCTCCAGGAACCAGTGCCTGGGGTGGGGGAAGGAGATGGAGACCCCATACTCTCACCCCACCACCCCTAAACCCTCTGGGGGGCTCTGGGGGCAGAGGGTGCAGGGGAGCACCCCAAAACCCTGATTGTATTATTTCATAATCCCAAAATCACGAAATCCTGCTAAATCTTTGGCTGTGTTGCATAAATCCAACAGTTTTTAATTGGGGGGTTGAGGGCAGGAAAAGCAAGCCCAGAATATCGGGGGAGGGGCTCAGGGTTTGGAGGGTGCAGGAGGCACCCCAGAACCACAATCCTACCATTACCTGATCCCAAAATCCCTCCATGCCACTGTTGAACCCTCCAGCCTCGCTGTGCAATTCCAACCATTTTTAATTATAGGGATGGCGAGGAGGGGGAGGGGGCAGAAATGCATCCCCAGGCCCTCATGAGGGAGAATCTGGGGGGCACAGGGGCCACCCCAGAACCCCGATCCCGCTGCCCCCCAATCCCTCTATCACTATCCCGTCATTGTGTAATTCCAACCATTTCTGATTCCCGGAGGGGGTGGGGGGGAGGAAACTCCCCAATAAAACCCTCAGGGGTATTATTCAGGGATCTGGGGGGGGGGCCCAGGGGACGCCCCAAAGCCCCGATCCCGCCGTTCCCGGAATCCCTGGATGCCGCTGCCGAGCCCTCCGCCCTCGTTGCGTAATTCCAACCATTTTTAATTCCCGGGGGGGCAGGAAACGCGTCGCTGCCGTTACACAAAGCAGGAAGGGGGGAGGGAGAAGTCTGGGGGGGGGCGCCCTGTCCTTATTCCCCCCAAACCCACCCCGTCCACCGCCCCCAGATACATCTGCCGCTTGGAAAACACCC